CCCCCCCCCCGCCGCCCAGACCCACAAGGCCGAGATTGACGATGTCAGCGCCAAGTATTTTGCCCTGCACGGAGCATCCGAGCAGATGCGCAATGAGTTCGAGCAGTTGATCGGTTTGTCTCCTTCCCCCCCCCTCCCGCGCCGCTCCTCTTTCGCCGCCTGCTCCCTCTGCCCGTGCCTAACCACTGGCCATCCCTGCCTGCAGATAAGAAAACCACCGCCCATGCGGACAAGCTGAGCCAGCAGCTGGCCAGCATTCGTGCCGACACCGACTCCTTGCGCAGCCAAATTGAGACCGTACGTGCAGTTGTCGTTGCTGTTGCTGTTGTTGCTGCTGTTTCTTTTGGCGGCCTGCCGTCCACCCTTCCCCTCCCCGGGCCCTCCCTCACACTCCCGACCACCCCCGATGGGCAGTTCACCCTGGACGTTGTCCGGCCGGAGGACCTCGAGGCGCACCTGTCCGTGATCGAGGCCCGCCTGGAGCAGCTCCTTTTCAAGGAGGTGCGTCGACATGCGGACCTGGTCGAGTCGGACATGGCGGCCTTCGAGCTGCGTGTGACCGAGGGTGTCCAGGCGGCCGCGCGCAATGTCGCCGAGATGACCGCCCGCGAAGTGGCCTCCGCCAACTACAAGCAGCTGTCCGATCTGAGCGACAGCCTTTCCAATTGTGCGCCTGCATGCGCGACCCTCTTGCCACTTTGCTGCTCCGGCACCTCCTCCGCCCGGTTGCCCTGCTCTGACAGCCTCCCGAATGCGCCCACCTTCAGCCAAGTCTGGCAAGATCCTGTCCGACTCGCAGGCCGAGCTGGCCGCTTGGTTGTCGGAGCGCGGTCTGGAGCGCACGCTGCCGGCCCTGTCTGAGCTTGGCTTTGACTCGCTGTACACTTTGCGCTTCCTGCTGGAGGCGGATTTGGATGCTTTGCCGCCGGCATCGGCCCTGAGCCCTGGGCATCGCCGCGGACTGCTCAAGGCCGCTGAGGAACTCGCCCGCGAGGCGAAGTCCCCCGCTGCGCCGGCCGCCGCCCCTGTTGCTTCTGCCGCCCCTGTCCCCGCCGCTGCTACTCCGGTGCCTGTTCCGGAGCCGGAGCCGGAGCCGGAGCCGACCTTGGCCTCGGCCCCGCAAAAGCTCTCTCTCGCCAGCGAGTACAAGCCGGCCCTCAAGCAGTCCACGAGCTCGGTTCTCGCGGTGTGTTTGCTCCCTGTTCACTTGATGCCACCTTTTTCGATTCTTTCTTCTTTTTTTTTTTCGCCCACTCGCTCACCCCCACCTCCCTCCGCCTCCCCCTCGCTTCTCATCTTGTCTCCCATGCCCAGGCATCTTCTCCGGCTGATCGGCCAGCTGCTTCTACGGCTGCCCAGCGCCCGGTCGGTCCCCGGCGTCCGGTGGCCACCTTCGTGGCGGAGTCCTCTGAGAGTGAGCCTGCCGACTTGTCTGACGGTGACCTGGGTTCGGATGTTAGCAGCCTGACCGACTCGGATGACCAGCTGGAAGAGGCGCCGGTTGTGGATGTTGCCATTCCGGATGTGGCTGAGGTCCCTGTTGCGGCAGCTGCCCAGCCGCGTGTTACCCACGACAAGCCGGCGCCCCCGAAGCCCGTGGCCCAGAAGAAGCCGGTCCCGCCGAAGCCTGTTGTGTCCGCGAAGCCTGCCGTGTCCGTGAAGCCTGTTGCGCCTGTGAAGCCTGTCGAGCCTGTTGCCCCGGTCAAGCCTGTCGAGCCTG